CATTATTTACTTCTTTAACCATCTGTCAGTTCACACAATAGAAAATGCACACAGAGAGGCTCAATTAAAGCCAATTCTGGTATTCCATAACTGCAACTGTCAAAATTTTTCTCCCAGGAGACACTCAATTTCTATTGTCCAAATTCATTCATAAGTGATGTTCTGACTTTTCTTAAGCAAAATAAAAGATTTATGAGAGCAATTATTCATGCTATAGTGCACACGACTCAATTTACAGACAATCCTGCTGCAGAGAAATACTGCTGGGGTCTTCCAAATGCAGGTTATCTGACCCCTCATAGACAGGGGTGATAACACTTTGTGTTATCAACATTTTTTGTTTACTCATTAATAACCTCAACAGAGGATAAGGAGCAGTCCTAAAACTCAGGGCGAAACCTATAAAGTGGGAGATTTGAAATACAATATTCTCTTGCGGGAAATATGCATTAGCATTGCAAGCAGTGCACCGACATCTGCTGTAAATAGGTTAGAAACTCAAGTGCTCTTCTTTTTCTATTTGGATGTGAAGGCTTTAAAAAGTAAAGCAGTCATAAACCTCTCATATGCCAGAGTTTCCCCCAAATTAGCCTAACAACTCCACCCATCAAAAAACACAAATTTTCAACCCATATCCTAAAACAGTATGTTAGTAGACAACTTTAGTCTAGAATGGAATGAAGTTTTATGGTAACAGCTGGGGTCCATCCTTCTCAGTTCTGGAGTTAAGCAAAGGAAAAGGAGAAGTTAGCTTTTCTTCCTCTCAGGAAACTTAAGTGTTTAAAACTTCCACTCACAGCAACTCATCTTAAGCAAAAATCTCTCATTGAGGGCAATGATTTTCAACTGGTCCGCTCATTAGAATCACCTGAGGAGCTCTTTTTGCAAAGTGCCCAAGCCCAGCACCAGACCAACTCAATTTGCATCTCTGAGTGCAGTGCAGGGCTCAGCCACCTGCATTTTTTCAAAGCTCTCACAGTGATTTTAATCTGCAACCAGACTGAAAACCACTGCTCTAAAGCAATGGTTTTGAAGCAGAGGCATTCTGACTACCCCCAACCTGAAACACTGACAGTGTCTGGAGACATTTTTTATTATCACAACTAGGGGGGATGCTCAAAGGTAAAGCCCAGGGATGCTGCCAACACTCCTACTAAAATGCATAAGGCAGCACCTCACAACAAAGAATTATCTGGTCCAAAATAATAATAGTGTAGCTGTAAAGAAACCCTGAACTAGAAGAAGAGTTGTTGAGAGAAACAGCCTACTCTTTCAATCTTGAGAGATACCCTCACAAAACAAGAAAAGGAAGCTTTCAGGAGGAAGACTTACAACCCTGACACTCTATTCAGCAAGACCAAAGTAGGTCTAAATGGACCCTGTTCAATGCAAGTGAATGATTTCCTCATGCTTGCTCTCATTGGCTAGAGTGATGTTTAAGGAGGGCACGATGCTACCGTTCACTGAAACTTGCTCTAACAAGGCAAAGGGAATCAGACCCACCAGGATGACTAAACAATTCCTTTTTTTTTTTTTTAAGAAGAAGAAGAAAGGTAATGAAGAGTATCGTTTTGTTGTCTATTGTTCCTTCTTATTTGCCAGTAGCCAGCAATATGTGCTTCTAGAATTAAAATCAAATTATTTTCACCATTTTTTCTTCTGCATTCACTGTATCTGGTGGGGGAATTTCTTGTAAGGATCTCTGATCATCAGAATCTTCTTCGTCTTGAAGGGCAATAACAAACAGAGCTATTGCTAGAAGAACCTAAATCATCCAAGACATCCATGACCTGAGCTAAATAGTTACCTGTTAAAGCAAAGGCCTGCCAGCTAGGATCTGGAAGCAAAACTCCTTCCTTACATTGTGGAAGGAAACACTTTCACCTAAGAAAATTCCATTCACCCTTGAATGTCAATGGAATCAAGTAAGGGTTGAAACCTCCATTCTCAATACTTGAGGCTGTCAGTTTAAAAACATTTATAGATAGCAGTGGTTATTCAATTACTTAATTTACAAATCTGAAATAAGCAACTTGAATGGACAAATGCAGTAATGTCTAGATGTGATAAGTGTTGAATCTACTTCCTGTTTGAAAATGGAACTCTACAAAAACTAGAAAGAAACCATTGAACAATAACTTCTACAGAATTAAATGCATTCTTGAGAATTTTGTGTAGTTTGGAGGTTTGTTTAAAAGTTTCATTTGTTTTTGCTTTTGTTGTTTTCTATACACCTACTAATTAAGAAATTATTCTACAGACTTAAGATGTTTTTAAGAGAGGAAAAACAGCTAAAATTTATCTTGCATTCACCCAAAAAAACTCTTTAACATGTTCAACTATTTCATCCACTGAGTTTGTAATTATAAGCACAAGTAGATTAACAAATGCTCAAGGCATTGTCAACTAAAATAGCCATCTTTTTCACTAATGTTCTCTCAGTGTGTATATGTATGTGTTTTGTGAGGGAATGCATATCTTTACAGGTAGGACAATTTCCTGCCAATATATATTTCATTTCTGTTTCAGTTTGCCATAATGTACACACACTTCCCATTAGTTTTTACCTGCTTTTTGTTCATGTAAAAACATGCAAGTGCTCATCCTAAACACTCATATTTCACACCAGCCCCAAGCAGAATGACTCTGGAAATGAGTCAGCAAATCTGCAATTCTGAATTAACCTTGATATTGCTTCCTGTCTATTTACACACCAATGACTTGAATAAACGGTGTGAGGATTTAAAAATACAGAAAAGCAGGTCTTACCATCCATATCAAAAATTAATTTGTAACAGCAAGATAAATACAAGTTACCAATGCCCATGTTTATAGGCTGATGATCCATAGACATCTCATTGTGCCACTTCATTTTCCAATTAATTACTGAAATTAAAATGTAATGCAAATGCACTGCAAATATACTCTGAGGATATCAACTGTCGGCATAAGATTGGTCACTCAAGAATGAGAAAACTTGAAGTAGACATAAGATTTCAACTACAGTATCATTCTATTACATCAGTTTTAACTAAATTAAATTGTTAAATTTTAAAAAACAATTACCTGCCCCACTAAGTTTATCTGTACTAGGTAATCAATAAGCTACGATGTCCTGTCATCTTTACCGGGAGATACACCTTACTTACCATGCAAGGCACTGTTTAAAAGCTGCAACTAAAAACTTTTCTTAGAAGTCAAGTCATATGATGATTAAACTAGAGGAGTTCTTTAGATAAAGGAGCCCTTTGGTAAAGAGAAATTGTTTTTTTAAGTGATCAACTTTCCCCTAATATTTTCTTTTTAGTTTAAGATACAAAGTTTCCTTATAATGGCGCACATATTTACTTCTCAAGCTCATCAAAAAGTAATCAAGAAATGGAAAAATCATTAACTTTACCTTCCCATGACTCTATTATCCCCCCTCCAAAGACAAGCTTCATGGCCAATGACCAATCTCATGATAGTAACATAGCCAAACTTTCTTTTTGAATGACTTGCATCTCTTATACAGAATTGGGTAGCCAAGAGTGTCTATAGCAATAGGGTGGGGGGTGAGGGCAGCATCTCCACAGCTCTTGGCAACAGTTAGTGAAGGTTCAACCTTGGAAAGGCACCAGCCAGGAAGCCTCAACGCAACAGGTGAATTGGCTTCTCTGAGCCTCCACCTCTTAAGTTCGAAGTGGTTTCAGATCCAACATCCAACAATAAAGCAGTGGCCTCCCATGTTTCCAAACTTTTTATTTCCATTTGTACCTAAAAGAATATTGCTTGCATTCGAAGTCAAGTTTCAGGAGTCAATTTTCAGCACTATGAGAAAAGGATTAGGATAAAATGGAATCCAACAGGTAAATCCCCAAATACAATATTGAAAATTTACCCTTCTTGTCACTGCTAAAACTGGCAGCCTCCTCCATTACTGCTTGGAGTTGGCTGCAGACTCCAGAGCACCTTTTAAATAAAGCAAAAACCCTCAGATATTTTCAATTAAAAAAAACCCCACAGTTTATAAAATCACTTTAGCTCCAACTCAACCAAAGGTAACATAAAAGGATTGTGGAGTTTATTTTGGTTTTTATTCTTTAAGAAATCATTTTTTTCTCGCTCTCAAGTTCAAAGTGGTTTCAGATCCAACATCCAGAAAATTGAACCTCTTCCAAAAGGTTTAAAAGCCCAGGTTTAGCACTGCCTCAGCAAGTGCAGCAGATGTTATGATTTAGAAACCAAAAGAGTGTCCAAGCACATCTGTACATTTTAAAAAGGTACATTCAACCAACCAGGAAAGATGTCTCTTGCAATGGAAAACCACGTATTATTTGGAATATGTTTAAGGGAGTTCAGTGATAGTGTTGGTGTGTTTTGAGTGAGTGAAAAAGGAATCAGCTGATGCATTTTAAATGCAAAGAAATTTCACAAATTCTGACCCCCCAACACAATGGAAAAAATCCTCATGGAAAAGTCAGGCATATTTATACGCATTTGGGCAAACCAGCATCAAGCCTGTTTAGGAACATCGTATTTCTTTTCTAATGTTATTGGTTTTTCATAAGAAATATTCATTTCTTCTTGTACATAACCTATTAACTGAATTCAAAAACCTTTTGGCAACCATTCCACAAGCAAGCCCTTGCAGGAAACAACACACCACTAGGAAAATGCTCAGGTTTAAGGTGAAAGACTCTTAGAACGGTTCTATGTTTTATCTCCAATACCACAGATTTCACCTTGACAACTCAGGGTCCTAAGGAGTTACTGTTCCTCTCCCTCCCACCACCCCTCATCCCCAACCTTCTTCAGGCTGAGTGATAACTGCATAAGATAAAAACAGATGGAGGAGAAGAACCCGACATCATGATTTTGGGTTCAACGTTTGCTCCTTCCCCATACCCACTCCCTAGCCAGCACCTGCACTCTCTCACATGGCTGGAAAGCCCGTAATCATTCATAACTATCTGCTGAGTTTCCCAGCCCAAGCAGCACCCCAGCACGTACTGACCCACCATTCATGCCACTGTAGACATTGCGGTGATGGGGTGACCCGTCCTCCTGCGCCTGCCGTCTGAGGGTGCCCTCCCTGCTGCCTCCTCCGCTGCCTCCACCTCCTCCACCGCCGCCTCCGTGTTTGTGATCAGGGCTCCCTCCAAAATGTTGTTTGAGGTGCTCCGGGCTGGTGCCCCTGGCTCTGGGGAGATGCTCTAGGCTGCCCCCGAGGGCGTGTTTCTGAAGATGCTCTGGGCTCCCTCCACTGTGCCGGGTGTGTTCAGGGCTGCCCCCTGACCGGTGCTTCTGGAAGTGCTCCGGGCTCCCACTCAGCACGTGCTTAGGCAGCATTTCGGGGCTGCTCCCTGGATGCGGGTGCCTTTGCTGTTCGGGGCTGCCCTTGCACAAGGGTTTGTGGTGCTCCGGGCTAGGTCCTTTGAGTGCTTTGGGGTGATCTGGGGTCCCGCAGGCCCTGGGTTTCTGTGGATGCTCGGGGCTGGCGCTCCTGTGCTTGGCGTGCTCCGGGCTGCCCTCGCTCCGGGGCTTCTGCAGGTGCTCCGGGCTGCCACTGCTCGCATGGTGCTTGTGGTGGTCTGGACTGTCAGTGCTGCCGGTGCTGGAGGTGCTGCTGCCGTCACCCACATCCCGCACGTAGGGCGCGGTGGAGGCCGTGAGCTGGCACAGGCTGGCCTGGCTGTCTATGGAGCAGCGGCTGCCGGCGCAGCCCGCACCCTTCTCTTCGTCCAGCAGCACGCAGAGCTCCTTGAGCTCCATGTTCTCCTTCACCACTTCCTCCTGCTTCACCTCCAGCTCTTTCAGCTTCTGCAGGTATAAGGCCACTTCCTTGTGCATCACCCCGGCAGTGTAGCGACCCAGTCTCTGCCACTCCCGGGACACCCTCTTGCCTTTCTGCCGGTCATCATCCAGGAAGCAACAGAGGTCCCTCAGTTCCTGGTTGTCCTCCTGGAGTTTCTGGTTGATATCCTGAAAAGAGAGACACAGCCATTTAAGGGAGGTATGCATCTGAGGTGTCAGCAGGCTAGACTTCCTGGAAAGGGAGAGAGCCTGGAACTAGTGAATTATCTGTGAGGTTAGGGGAAGAGGTGAGGGAGTAGCAGGAAGCTGAAGATTTGTAGCTGTCCATCAAAATTAAACTAACTTAAGTATCAGTTCTATCCCTGCACGATACTTTACTTGCATTCTGTCATCTAATTTGTACTAAAACATTTAGGCGATAATAATTATTATGGATTTTTACAGAAGAGGAAACTGGACCTCACAAAGTTTCACTTGTCCAAGGTCATCCAGTCAGTAGTTAGGGAGCAACCAGTCAATTAACAAGAAAACAGTCACTAGAAAAAACAAGGCTCTCCTGCCCCGTTCCCAAGAAAGAAAAATAACTGCTTGTGACCTGTGAAATGCTTAAAAGTCCTGAGACAACAGACCTTTCAACAGAGCAAACAGCAAGCACTGCTTAGATCTTCAGCCTGGCATGGAATGTGCAGCCCCAATTCCCCGTAGGGAAAAGCACAATTGCCCTCTAGTGGCATTTCCACCCTGCACATCGAGCCCTACTTGCCACACCCACCTGGACATCTCCCAGGCATCTCTCACTTATCTCAAGCCACTGAACTTTAAGAAACCACTCTCCCCAGACTGCACCTCTCAGCAAATGCCACCTCTTTCTGTTCCATTGTTCTTCATATGAACCTGGTCATCCCTGCCATCTCCTTCTCCTTCAACTTTCCATTTCAAAACCAAACAAGGCTTTGGAACTCTAACTCCAAAATTTAACTCATCTTGTCATTCCCATATTTGAAATCCTTTAATCTCATGTCCCTTAGGATACAATGGCCACTTTGTATCGTTTAAGTCTCACAAGGCCCCAGATGCATTGACTTAGCCTACTTCTCCTGCATGAATGATGATTCATTTGTTCATTCACAAATATTCAGTAAGCATCAATTACTATGCCAGGTACCAGTCCAGGTGGTAGGAACATATCAGTGGACACAGCAAAGACCTTGACATCCTACAGCTTTTATTGTTGTGAGAAAGACTGGAAAACACACACACACACACACACACACACACATACACACACACACACGTAGAACATAACCTCATGCAGGGAAAAGTTAAGGAAAGAAAACTGAAGCAGGCTAAAGAATACTTTTTTTCAAGAAAAGAGACCTCTACAGAGAAGGGAAACATTTGAGCAGAGACCTGGGTGGAATGAAGGAGCCAACATGTGAGTGAAGATGAACCCAGGCAGAGAGAGAGCAAGTATAAAAACCCTGAGAGCAAGCATGAGAGCAAGAGCTCCACATAGGGAGGTCAGCGTGCCTAAAGAACAGAGAGCAAGTCAACAGATATGGGAAAGGGGGTGGAGGGGCATCAGAGCCCAGAATATGCAGGGCGTGGTCAGCCACAGGAAAGGCTTTGGGCTGTCGGAGAGCTGAGGATAGAGGAGTGACATTACATGTCTATAGAGGTGTGGAAAACACACTGGCTTGGGTGGAGGAGGAAAGAAAGGAGGGTCAGGATAAAATAGAAGCTGCAAGATCAACAAGGAGGCTCCTGCACTGGTCCAGGTAGAGGCAGATGATGGTGGCTTGGACGTGTGGTAGCAGTGGAGAAGGTGGAAGCAGCCCTCCCCATCATGCACTGAGGCTGCGTTTCAGGTCCTCAAAGGGCAAAGTCTTTCCCTGTTTCACTTGGAATGCTCTCTCCAGCCTAGACAACCATCCTGTCTCATTTTATAAGTTACTTCCCCATAGAAGCCGTTCTATAGAAGGTCCACCCACAATCTACGGTCTATCATCATCCCTTAGACTTACTACAAAACTTGTAAGCACAAATGCGTGAGTGTAATCATTCATTCTAGACTACATCTTCTCTAGAGTCATGACAACAGAGGAGACGTAGTCTAGAATGAACGGTCTATTTACTTCTCTAATTGTCTATTACTCATCTATTTACTTCTGTGTATCCAGAACACAGCACTCCCAGTGTAGACACCTGAAACCAAGGAATTTTTAAAACGACTAGTGGAGTTTCCGCCTATTCTCCATTTATGCATGCAGTCAAGGTGCCAGTAGTTCCTTGAAGAACCGTCGTTTGGTAAGGATGAAATAGGGGCAGCTACAGGGCTGCTCCCTAAGATTTCTCTGCTTCAAAAAGCCTCAAAATCTCTGGTCTTGAGATGCCATCATCCAATCCAGAACTAGAGGTACTCAGAAAGGGGACTGAATTTCCTCAGACTCAGGTTTATTCTAACACTGCCCCTAACTAGGACTAAGAAACAAATTATGAAACACCTGTCAACCACATCCTCCACCTCCTGACAGTCATGGGAGTGAATGTTGGGGCCTTAGGAAGAAGCATATACAGCATGGACAAAAAGATGGCAACAACAGAAACTGGGGGCTACTGAGAGGGAGGAAGGGAGGTAAGGGTTAAAAAACTATTGGATGCTATGCTCAGTACCTGGCTGATGGGATTAATCATACCCAAAACCTCAACGTCACACAGTGTACCCAGGTAACAAACCCACACATACACTCCCTGAATCTAAAATAAAAGTCGAAATTAAAAACAAACAAAAAAACACCAGCTGGGCACAGTGGCTCACACCTACAATCCAAACCATTTGGGAGGCCGAGTTGGGGGGGGGTGTCATTTGAAGTCAGGAGTTCAAGACAAGCCTGGCCAATGTGGTAAAACCTATCTCTATTAAAAAATACAAAAGTTAGCCAGGCGTGGTGGTACATGCCTGTAATCCCAGGTACCCAGGAGGCTGAGGCAGGAGAATCACTTGAAGCTGGGAGGCAGAGGTTGCAGTGAGCCAAGATGAAAATATACTCCAGCATGGGCAACAGAGTGAGACCTTGTCAAGAAAAACCACCAAAAATACCCCCTGCATGTTTTGCCTCTTCTGTTTATCAATCCCCATCACCTCCCCTTTGCATGGGAAAATGAATAAACCCCTCAGCCAGGTCACCAGACCTGAAAACCTCTTCACCTTTAGCTGTCAGCTAATTATGAGCTGTGATTTTGTCTGTGCATTCCAACTAGAAAATATCATCTTCTACCCCATATGAACCTAAGAGGAGAGATTCCTCTGAGAAGTTTCCCCTGGCACAGAACAGCACCATGAATGAATGAAGGGATGGATGGATGGATGGATGGATGAATGGATGGATGAAGTAACTTTCCCACTCACTGCTTAAAGCCTGTATCACACTCTAGCTAGAACAATTGCTGGGCATCAATTTTTTCTCCTTTCTAATGTGGACATCTTAGCTTCTGGAAGGCAGGGTCTATTCCAAAAGTCTTTCTTTGAATATGTGACACGTCTGGCATGGTGCCTGGCATACAGTGGACACTCAATATGCGTTTATGGACTGATCAGTGAAATACAGGTATTGATTGACTTACGACCTATGCAACTTATGACCACTCAACTTTACGACCACAATAGCTAGCCACAACTGCTCTGCGTCTGGCAGCGCAAACGTTGCCCAGCTGGGTGTACGACAGTGTGGACCAGCTTCCGGCAGCACTACCATCTCCGCGTGCATATAGCCTACTCAACTTACGACCAAATCGTGTTATGACTGGTCTGTCGGAACCAATCATGGTCGTAAGTCGAGCACTAGCTGTAAAGGCCCAAGCCTCTGGTCAAAACAGCCTACAGCTATAGCAACTGAGAAGAATTCCCCTTATTGTTTTCAGCAAGCACTAGCTATGTCAGAGTCTACAAGAATAAGAGAATAAACTATCCCTTGATACTGATGCTTTACAGGAAATCAGAAGCTGTAGATATTTGGAGAAAACAACACTAAACAAAATTAATCTAAGCTCCAAAACGTATTCAACATTTAGTTTAATCCTGGCATTTGAAAGAAAGCTCAAGTCATGTTCTCTTTCGTCTAAATAAATTTTCAGCTGAAAATATTTCCCTTTGACTATTCTACAGCTATTCCTGATTTCTCCAGAGCTGGAAAGTAAACAGGACTGGTGCTACCCTGGGCTTCACGGAGTTAATGCCTCTTCCAAAGGGAGTGAAGCATAACAGTTCTCAGCACTCCAGATGGAGGAGATAGGAGTGGGTATTGGCCCACTCCCTTCTCTGTATCACAGTTCCTTCTTTCTATTATTAGTTTTCTTGAGAATATTATTTACTATCCAGTTCTGAGCTATTTCCTTCGCCTTCTGATGAACAGCTAAGCAACCGGCTTCATAATAACCTTGTGAACCAGCTTCTTCAAATCTGCCTCATTAAGGCTTGGGCTTTCTTTTGCAAAACACTAGGTGTCCTTTTAACATTGCCACAGGCCACCAGATATTATCCAAGTGTCTAAATGGACTTTTAAAAGTTTAAGACCACTTCGTTGCACACCAACCAAAATTCTAATTTATGCCTGAAGATGATGAAGTACTATATCTTCAGTTAAATAATTGTTTTAATTTGTTATTTTGCTTCATTGCAGAGCAGGGTGGTGGGTAGGTGGGTGGTTGGGTTAGGGACCAAAGAAGGAAATTAATGCAATGCAGAAAACAAATCTACAGAGATTCACCCCCAAATCAGCCCCCAACTGGGATACTGGATCAGAGCAGTCTGAAGTGTTGGTATATGCTCAGTAGTCCAAAGACATGGTTCTCAGGAATCCAGTTCCTTCCAACATAACCCTAACTGGAATCTCCCTTTTCTACCCCTTCCAAGCAAAGAATGTCAACTCACCAAAAGAAAAGGAAAGCGGGCCTATTTTGAACACTTTTTGTGTGACCTTGAGAAAGCTAGCTAACCTCACTGGGGCTTCTTCATCTATGGTATATTTCATCCTCATAAAACCACATGTGGAATTAAAGTCCCCACGAGTAGATGAGAAAACTGAGGGACAGAGAGTTTAACAGTTTGCCAAAGCTGCCCAAATTGTCAGAATCCAAATCCTTTATCTTTCCACTTCTCAGGGCCCCTACACAGCCCTGGCCCCTAAATGTTTAAACAAAAACAAGTCAGTCAGGGCTAGGACCCAGCCACAGGCCCCTGAAAGCAAAGAATTAATGCTGCCATCTCCTGTGTCCATAGCTACAATAACACCTAGTAGCCTTAAAAATATTTAGATGCAATTTCAAAGTCCGCTCATAGAAAGAGGCATAAAAAAAAAGTATTATGGTCTTCAGTGCCCTATATTTATAGTTCTCAACTAAGAGTGACAAGCCATCAGATGCCCCCCTTAACAAAAAAAGATTTCTTCTTTTCTTCCAGTTAAGCCAAAATAACTAAATGTACTTATCATTTATTCAGTCAACCACATTTATGGATTATTATGATGTCCAAGAAAGCTCTGAGCCAAAATAGAGAAGGGAGAAGGCTGGCCTCTCCAAAGAGTAAAACCACAGCACCCTCCGGGGTGGGCCAGGAGCCTGGGAGTCTACTCCTTGGAGCTGCCCAGGGATGACATGAGAGGAGTAGAGGCTACATCAAAAAGCAACCTGCCCCCATTGTTTCTGAACTTGATAAGGAAGCAGATTGGAAAGTCATTTAATGCCAGGTCATGAATCTAGATCACAAGACTTTCCTACTTGGGTGTACGTGCCCTTAGCTGGCCTAATAGCTACTTTTCTACAGGAAGCTACTGGAATGAAGCCCAGGCACTCCACCGACCCACTCTACCATCCCCCTCCCCTACCCAAACATAGACCCTCACACACAGTCAATCCACACAACCTCAAGGAAATTCAAGTGTTTCTGAGCTATTATGTTGATGCTTCATATTATTAAAACATGTAATAGTAACTCTTCCAACTCTTCTAAGTCACACTATAGTTCAAACCACGGAAGAAGCTCAAATTAGAAGGTGACAAACTAATGTAATGCCCCCTTGTCCAGCTTTCCCTAAGAAATCCAGATCTTGGAGACACACAGCCGTAGATTTTTATGTCCTCTCCTGATGAGAGTAACTACCATTTTATAGTCAAGTATTAAACCTTCCCCTACATAAAAATAACTTGTCATAACACCCTCAGAAATAGTTATCATTGCATTGTATTGATGAATAAAATGAGGATCTGAGAACGTAATTACCCAAGCTCAACCTCCTGGCAAATGAGGTTTCTAGAATTCAAACCCACCTGAGATCATCTTCCTAACTACACCAGCCTGCCTCTATTCCCCAAAGAGCCTGGTACTTAATAAATACTGTTAGTAATGAATTAAACCAAAGGGAGAGAGAGCAAGCCTGGGGATTTTTCTGAATTGGGGAACTTCCCACCTGCACCCACTCTAGGGACTACATGACATTGAGTTCCAGCCTCAGGAGTGGGCCATCTCCACCTGAACTGGGCCCGGCACACAGCTGGGCCTCGGGCATTCCACCCTTCTCACTCTTTCTTGCCCCAGAATCCCAGAGCTGGAGCACAGAGGTGATTCAGGAGCAGCATCTACTGCCTGATATGTGGGGGTGGGAGTGGAGAGGGGAAAAGAACAGCGTGTGCCTTCGGGAATTTTCTTCCTGACGTCCCTACAGTGATTTCGTTTGTGTCTGGCTTCCTATAAACAAAACAGAACAATGAGAGGAAGGAATACCAGGAGGCACAGGCGCTAGCTGGAAGGAGAGGAAGTTTGCGGTGCTCGCCAGCAGGGCGGTTCCCGGCCACCCGTCTGCTGCAGCCGGGCAGGCACACTGCTCGCAGACCAGGTGCTCTCCAAGGAGAAAAGAAAGTTAGTGGGTTTGCGGGGGGGGGGGGGGCATTTTCTCTCTTTTCCTAGAAAAAGGTGGCAGGGATGCTGGCTCAAAAAGAAAGCAGCACTGACCTACCCTTGGGGTAACCTTTCGAAACCCTGCTCCTTCCATGCTGAGTCCCTTGGCTCCTCCCTTTTTTCCCAGTCAACCTGGGGGGTTAACTGAGAAGGGCAGTAAGGCAACTCCAGGCGACGCCTTCCAAACTCGGGGAGAAGGAAAGCACAGGAGTTGGTAGAAGACGTGAAGGCAAAGCTTGAGCTCCTATGTACCCGGTGACACAAGACGGCTCTGAGGGTGGCGCCCTGCCAGCCGCTCTCCCTAACAGTGGCGCCCTTCGTCACCCTCTGCCCGCCCAAGAGCTGGCGGTCCAGGGCAGCCGCATCCCCAACCCTCCAAGGCGAAGATCCCCTGGACTCACCCCCTTACTCGCCTTTCCCCTCACTGACTGAAACCTGGTTCCCCAAGCACTGATTTTCCAGCCTCCCTAAAAAATGAAAGGTTTGCGGGCCCTTCACTTCCCTCCCTGCTCTCCAGCGTCCTCCCCATGCATGACTCCTGCCAAAGTGCACCTCGAACAGCCAGACACAAGCGCGCACAGGGGAGAGGAGGGGAGCAGATGCGTCCAAAGTTTGGAAAAGTTTCACAGGGGCTGGGGACTGGGGGCAGGGGATGCCGACCGGGAGAAGAGGAGGATCACCTGTTGAGGGAGGGAGGGAAAGTTTGCCTGGCCCCGCCTCCCCGGGGCACCCCGCTCCCCGCTGCGCCGCGCCTCCCCGCCCGGCCCGCGCTCACCTTGAGGCCGCGGATCTCGCCGAGGTGCAGCTGCAGGCGGCGGTTCACCTCGCGGATGAGGTTGCTGTGGTCCAGCATCGCGCTCACCTTTTCGGCCTCGGCACGCCGCAGGCTGCGGATCAACTCCTCCTTGCTCCACTGCAGCAGCTCTTCGTCCGACACTTTGGACAGGTCCTCCACGGGCGCGGCCGCGGACGAGCCGGCCTGGGCTGGGGAACAACTTTCCGCCGCCGCCGCCGCCGCCGCCGCCGCGCCTCCGGCCGCCTTCGACATGGTATCCGCGCGGTGGCAGGTGCGAGTCGGTGGAAGAGGCGAGGCGACTCCCGAAGGCGCGGGCGCGGCGGGGCCGCCTCCGCCCACACCCCTGTGCGCTCCGGCGAGTCAGCGGCACCGCCCAGGGGCCGCTGGGTTGGGGCGGCGGGGGTCGCGCTGGGTGGCCATCCTACCTCGCCATCCCCGCGCGCGCGCCCGCGCTCCCCCAGGGCCCGGCAGCCACCCGGGCGCTGCTGCGGAGGCCCGTCCCAACTCCGCGCAAGTCCATGGTGAGAGGCTCTGGGGAGCCCGGGGCCGCCGCGGGAAAGCCTTGGGGACGGCTGGGGGCTGCACCCCCGTTCCCCTGCCTTCTCCTTCGCCTGGAGCCGAGGCTGTCGCCCCTCGCACTCTCTGCCTCGCACACAGGCGCGCACGCACACGCACTTTCCTCCCCCTTGCCCAGCTGCAGCCCCCGGCTTCTCCCCTCTCCTAGCTGAGGAGGGCGCGCCGGGCCCCGCGGCGCCTCCCCGGCTGCTCTAGCGACGCCGCCGCCGCGGCTGCCCGTAGGCTGCTGCGCTCCGCCTGCTGCCTTTGCTTCGCCGGCGGCCGCTCCTAGGATGCTCCGAGAAGCCTTCGATTTGCAGAGCAGAGTCGAAAAGGGGTGGAGGGTGGGGGACCGGCTGGAGGAGGAGCCTGGAGCTGGGGCCACCCGTCACCCGCAGCAGCTCCCGCGTGGGCCGGACGCAGCTGCCACTCGACCGCTGCCCGGGCCCCCGAGGTGCGCTCCCCGCGATCCTGCCCGGGAGGGCTGGGGGCGCGGCTCCTTCTGCGCCCGGGCGCGGGTGGGGCTGGAATGGGTAGAAGGTGCGGAGCCGTGGCTGCCGGGCTTTGGGAGGCTCGCGCGCGCCACCGTGTGGCGGAAGAAGCTCCCTCCTCTGCCCTCTACACACCCGGCTTGTCACCAGGCAGGGGAAACAGCTGCTGACCCAAATGCGAGGTGCTCGGTATTTGGAGGGATCGGGGATCAGGCAAGATGGGGTAGCAGGATCTGAAAAATAGCCAGCTATTTGCACTTTGGAGAATGGGAGGAGATGCAAATGGAAAAAACGAGGGTCGGGGGAAGGGGGAGCTTAGGAAAATCCAAATGGTCTGATAAAGGGGGAAAGAGGCATCAGAGCACTACTCTTTAGGGACTACTCATCCCCACCCCCCACCTTCACCCTCACCTCCCCCCTAGGCCTTTGTCTTTTCTAAAAATCCACTACTTTATGAAGAAGCTTCACGAGAAGGTACTGGATCTTTTAAATTTTTTATTTGAAAAATATCAAAGCCTTTAGGCGAAAATAAAGTACCTTCATCTCCTGCTTCCTGAGACCTGGATTTTAAGGTCAGCACAGTCACCTCCCCTCCCAGCAAAGCAAGCCCCCTCAGGCAAGCTGAAATGCCAGCCAAGGAGATTTCCATTTTCTTCTATGCCGCAGGCTGCCAGGCGATTACTGGGTCGGCTTTTTTATGATGGTTATTTCTGGAAGGAGGAAGTCTGAGTCCCTGGCTTCTATCTTTGGGCTATCCTCTTGTAAAGTTGGGTGGAATCGTCTCTGGGCTGAAAACATGCCTTTTGCCTAAAGAGGTGGATGCCCTTGACCCTGGCGTGTTATTTCCAGGGGGGCAGGGCCGGAAAATTGCAAGGATCTATCCCCACCAGGTTTCAGTTACCCAGAGGGCAAAGGGAATAATCTCTATCTGGTAGGGTGAGAATCCAAATCAGTCCCTTCACCCACCGGTCGGTGTGTGTCCCCTGTTAGGGACACTGAGACCCGGCTCCCAGGAGAGGCAAGGAAAGGCGGTACTGCTTACCTGTGACCAAGATGGCCTTAACATTCCCCTCAGCTTGACTAAACTTTAGACAGGTTTCTTCCTAACTGGAGGCCACTGACCTTCCTTTTCTCAGAGTATTTACTTTAGCAAACTTCCATTGATAAATGTTTCCTCTGACCCTTTGACATGTAAATCTTTCAGCCTTCTGCTGGGTTTTACAGCCTAGGAATGCCTTTCTCAGGGATCTGTGAGGCATCCCTTTGAAATATAATCATCCAGGAAAATAGGGTCCCTATCTCCCAGTCTTTGTGGAGAGGAGGAGCCTAACTTTAATATGTTTCAATTAGGAAACACAAATGGGCTCATTACGTTGACCAACCTCCCACCCTAATTTCCTCCACTGTTCTTCTGCTAACTCCTCTCCTTCTGTTCCAGTGGAGCTGACTCTCCCTCTCTCTCTCTCTTCCCTACTGAAAAAGTCTTGAATAAATCCCCCTTGTCTGTTTAACTATATTGGATACAATTTTTCTTTGACACTTCCAAGGGGCTCTCATGCCCACAGAAGGCTCTGCTCAATACAGTTTCTAAAGCCAGTCACAGAAAGGGAAAATGAAAGTCAGAAAAAGGTAAGTCCTATCTCTGTTCCTTGTTCTTGTCCTAGAACAAAATCATCCAACCTTACTGGCCCTGGGGCAGCTAATGATATGATATCCATGAAGTGCTTGATCGAGCCACCCTACAGAAATACAACCTTATTATTACTGATACTACATATTATATTGGGCAGCCTCTTGTCTAGAAATAGGAACGAGGACTTCTGTTTATTCCTCCATCACTGGCTCTTCAAGAGTCCTATTCTAACATGAAACAGCCAGCCCCCTTCTCTGCTAACCCCCTCTGATCAGTTAACACCTAATAGATATGACAAGTCAGATAGCTGGCTGAGAGAAGAAATTAGACTTGGGAGGACAAGGAAGAAGGAAAGCAAAAAAAAAAAAAAAATTCTCCACAAATTATATACACTGGCTTACTGTTGAGCTAGATCATCTTAAGGTTTTGATGTTTCTAATTTTGGTCATTGATTCAGAATAATAATTTTCTGCATGAATGAATCATGTTGCTTCATTTTGCTAAGGTCATGTATGGTGTCAGGAGCTTCACTTGACTGCTAAAAACAGAAACTCATAAAACAGTCACTTTTAAAAAGTCATTTGATTTTTCTCACCTACCTGGTATGCTAAAGCGAGACAGCTGAGGGCTGGTATGGTGTCTTTGTGAAGTCATCAAAAACTTAGGCTCCTTCTCTCTGCTCAGTCCTCCTTGGCGTGATTGCCTTGTGTCCATAACATGGCTGCTGGAACTCTAGCCATCCAGCTACATGTAAGGCAGGAAGAAGGTAATAACAACTGCAAAGGGAAACATGCCCCTTTAAAAAGTTTTCCTGGTAGCCAGGCATGGTGGCTCACGCCTGTAATCCTAGCACTTTGGGAAGCTGAAGTAGGTGGATCATTTGAGGTCAGGAGTTCAAGACCAGCCTGGCCAACATGGTGAAACCCCGTCTCTACTAAAAATACAAGAATTTGCTGGGTGTGATGGCACGCGTCTAATCCCAGCTACTCGGGAGGCTGAGGCAGAAGAATCGCTTGAGCCTGATAGGTGGAGGTTGCTATGAGCCAAAATTGTGCGACTGCACTCCAGTCTGGGTGACAGAATGAGACCCTGTCTCAGAAAAAAAAAAAAAAGTTTTCTGGTAATTGACCAGTGAATTTCATTTATGTTCTAATAAGCAGAGCTTACCATATGATCACCACCCAGTTGTAAGGGAAGCTAGGACATTTTTTTAAGTTGGGTATATTAATGTCACAATCAAAATTAGAGTTGCTTTAATAAGAAAGAATAAAATAGATATTAGGTAGGCAACTAACAGTTTCTTATGCAATCTAAACTCTGTGTAAGCTAAATGGAGGGTTCTGAAAACCAGCCACAAGTGACCCTAAGTCTTTAGTCCTGATGGTGTTATATCATATGAT